GCCTCCTCCCCCTCTATCCCTGCCCCCAGAGCGCCGGGCCTTGGCCTCTCTTACAACGAAATCTGCTCCAAACCTCGGGAGCAGGGCGACGGCCTGGGCAGGGCCAGCCCGGGCTTAGGGATGGGGTCGACCTCGCAGAAGGCTTCCCGGGGAGTCCGAGCGGGTCCCCGCAGCTCCCCGAGGCGGCCGGGGTGGGCTGGGACCCCGGGTTTGGGGCTCCCGAGCGCTGCCCAGCGCGCCCCCGCTGCTGCCGCATGTCTCCGTCCGCTTCCCAGATTCTGAAGATGTCTCCTCCAGCGACCGGAAAATGCCCAAGTCAGCCTTAGCCCAGACCAAGAAGCGGAAGAAGCGGCGGCACAGGTAAGGCCCCTGGTCTTCCCGTCACCTTCCTGCTCCCGGCCCTGCGTCCCCCGTGGGGGTCGGGTCTCTCGGACTCCGCTTTCGCCGCCGTCATATCTGAGGTCCAAGGCTGCGCCCGGGCGCGGGGAGCGGGCGTTGTTTGGTGACACCCGGGCCCTGGGCGGGCTGCGCCCCGTGAGGACGGTGAGAGGCCGCCAGGGAGGCGCACCGGGCCAGGCTTTCTCCTCCTCCTCTGGGAGAAAGGAAAGGCCCCGCTGAAAGCCAGAGCCACAGAGGGGCTGGCAGCTCCCAGGTGCTTCCAGGCACCTGCACATCCGAGAGCCATGCACGCGGGAAGCTCCCACTTCCCCGCCCGAGCCGGCTCCTCTGCCCTCCGTCCCGGCCGCCTTCCTCTCCCTCGGCCCCTGTGCTCACAGTTCGCTACCGCCTTGCTCCCACCTTTCCCCAAAGCTCGAGCGTGCTATGTGCATCGATGGGACATTTTCGTTAGGCTTCTGCTCTTTCTGTGGTCCTCAAGGTAGCTTCCCTTCTGCGAGCCTCAGTTTCCTTGTCTGTAAAATGGGGAAAGACGGGGGAATGTGTGGACTGGATGACCCCGCCCGCCCTCGCTGGAGTGGAATGGGCTGCACTGGGGTACAGACTAAAAAGGGAGTTTAAAAAATACGTCTTTAAAGAGGCGTTACTGGCACAAAGTTAAAATTCAATCCCTTCCAGAAGCTATATCCTGACAAGCAATCCCCTCACCCCAGGCCCGCAGGCCCCTGGCCATCAGCACCAAGTTCTTGTGTAAATTTACCAGAAGCTTTTAAAGAAAATAAAGCGGCAAGAACCAAACATCGGCCGACTTTCTGCGAGTGCTGCTTGTCCCTGCGCTCACCCGGGGCTGTTTTCCCAAACTTCCCTCTGCGGGGGGCCAGGTGGGGCGCCCAGGTGGGTCCCACGGGCTCTGAGGGCATTTCACCCCACGGAGCTCCCCGCTTCTCCCCCGCACCTCCTTGTTCTTTCACCCCAGTTTGTTTTCAGCCTCATCGCGCCCTTTCTCTGGGCGCTTTTCTGCCTGTCCCTCTTCCTTCACCCTTGGGAACCGCACTACTGACCCCCACCTTTTAAATGGCTCTTCTTGAGCCCTCAGACTCCAACAGGCTCCCGCCTGCCTGCCAGTGAACTTCGGCTTGGTTTCCCCATGACCTTGATTCACTCCTTCTCTCCAGTCAGCTGTTTGTTTTTGTTTTGTTTTCTTTTAAACGGAAACATTTTATTTTGGTCCTGATTCTGGGTCACTTTTTACATCCGTTTACCCAACGAATATTCATTAAGACACCTCTTTTGCACCCACGACATGCCGGTCCCAGGTTGGGTGGTCCTGCCAGCCTCTGAGTCCAGGGACAGGGGACAGGCCACGGGGGAAGGACCGGTCCGCTGAACTGCTTCTGCGCTGGTGCGAGGGGGAAGGAGAAAGGGGCTCCCACGGCAAGAAGAGCCCTGGGGAAAGCATGCCCCGACCCTGGGTGCCCCACAGCGTTTCTGCGTCAGGACGCCGCCCTGTGTGGCACTCGGAGCTGGCTGACCCACAGCCCGAAGGCCATGCCTCAGGCTCCTGGCCCTCTGCCCTCACCTGCCACCCTCTCCGCCAGGGAGACCTGTGGGAGCGTTGGAGGTTCGCAGGGAGCAGGAGGACTCGCCACCTGCCCTAGGTTTCTGGCTATTCCTGGTGCATGAAGGAAGCCGGTTAGTGGAGGGAGGAGAATGGCTACCATGGCCAGTGCAGTTTTTAATTAGTTTTTTAAAAACAACGCAAACGTTATTCTAAGCTTCTCTCGTTTGGGGATTTCAGGGAAGAGATCCTGGAATCTGGTGAGAGGAGACGGGCATCGCTCATTTCCCAGAAACACCCAGGTTTATGGGGGCTGGCAGGGGAGAGGGGATGGGCCAGCAGCCTTGGGGGTCTCGGCTTTTCCTCATCTCTGTACCCGAAAGCTCAGGCAGGAGGTCTGGGTTTCTGCAGAAAACCAGGAGCAGGTTTTCTGGGTCACGTTGTGGGAGCGCAGGGAGGGTCCTGGGGAGCCGGGATTGGCTCTGCGACAGGAATGGGGGGAAGTTTGGGGGATCTGAGGCTTTGTTTTGTTTTGAGTGCGAGCGAGCTCGAGCTCTCCTAAGCAAAGAGTGGACACGGGAAGGGTCTTAAACAACCTACTGTCGGCTCTTCTCTTTGGCTGTGGCCCCCACACCTACGTGCTTACTTCAGTTTCCCGAGTTTTGCAAAGGACTTGCGTGTTTCGATTGTTTATTTTGACATTTTGTGTAGGGGGACCTTTCAGTAAATAGCAAGAGAGAAACAGAATTTCTTCAAAATTCTGAAGAAATAACTTTATTTACATAAGCATTTAATCCCCACCCCCAAGAGGAGAGGAGAAACGATTTAGAATCAAACCAGTCGTTTTCTATAACGAGCAGAATCCTTCTTCCTCACAATCCCCTGCATCAGACTCTGAGACACTGAAGACAAACCAGCACACGGAACGGGGGCTGAACTTTGCGCTTGTTCCTGTGCTGGGGGCGCGTGCGAGCAGCAGTGAGGGCTTCTAAACCCCTGTGCTGCCCCAGAGTCCCAAGTCCCAGAGGCTCCAGCAGGGAAGGTACCGTGTTTATGAGTTGAGTGTGTGGGATCTGGACGCTATTGCCCGCTGGCTTGTGGCTGAGAGAAAGGTCACCCAGAACTTGGTGAAATTAAGGTCTGAAGAAAGAAGACTTTGTGTCTGCAGGTGGATATGTAGTGTGTTTATGCAGGAAAGGAGGTCTATGAACCCCCTGATAGTGGAAGTGAAATGTTATGTGTCGGAGCATATTCTTCGCACATTTTCCTAGGGTGGGTGAGAGGATGTAGCTTTTATCAGATTCTTCACTGCTCAGTGGGGGGGGGGGGCTGTGGAGGTAGGTTATTTCAGGGTCACCTGAGTGCAACTTCCCGGAATAATGGGCCCCCCTAGGTTGCTTCCCCAGCTTGTGTGTGTGGTGGGGGGGGGGGGGGGATGGTTGGAAGGTGGCTCTTGGCTTCTGAGCACTGGAAGAGTCAGGGCGCCCTCCCCCTCATATTCCTCACCCCTAAGATTAGGAGAGCAGCTTTAAGGAGCTGGTGGACCAGGGCAGGTGAGGAGGGCGGAGTGTTGGGTGGTTTGCAGGGGTGGGACATTCAGTCCTCAGTTGCATAAACACTGGGGTCGCAGCTGCCTTTGATCTTCGGGTGAGTGCAGTGTGAAAGATCAACTGTCTGAGAGGAGCCCAGGGAGCAGGTCCTAGCGGGTGAGGCATTTATTTACCTGGCTCGCCCCTCGCCTGTGGCCCTGTGCGTGGCAGGAGGAAGAGGGGCCTTCTGCAGTTTTCTCAGATGTCTATCTAACACCCTTTCCCCACAAGCTCTTCCAGAAAGATTCCTATAATGAGATGCCCCCGAGGGCTGAAATAATCCCCCACCACCATCGGAAGGGCACTGGGGGTCCTCAGCCTTGAAAGAAGAAAAGTCCAGAGGGTTAGGCTGAGTGTGTGTGCGAACACGTGTGCATGCACGTGAGCATGGGAGCGTGTGTGTGCGTGTGTGTGTGTGTGTGTGTGTGTGTGTGTGTGTGTGAGGGAGTGTGTGTCTGATTGTGCTGAGGGCCTGGGTTTGGGGTCTGTCCAGGAGGCACAGGGAAGGGCCGTTCTGTCCTCTCTGGGACAGCCTCGTCCGTTTCCAGGGTCCTGAGTATCCGTTTGCTCCCCGCAGGACGATCTTTACCTCCTACCAGCTAGAGGAGCTGGAGAAGGCGTTCAACGAGGCCCACTACCCAGACGTCTATGCCCGGGAGATGCTGGCCATGAAAACGGAGCTGCCAGAAGACAGGATACAGGTAACAGCGCCCGAGTCCCTGAGTCCCTCGCCTCCCATGTCCCCCACTCTTGGGGACAAGGACAGACCAGCCTCCCAGATACCCATCTCCCACCCCCTGTATGAGCACTGCTTGCCTGGGATCCTGTTCTCATGAAGAACAGCTCCGTACTTGCTGAACACCTACCATGGGAGGTGGGCACTGCAGGGGGACGGGGGCTTAGCAGATGTGGCCTGGCCTGTGTTCTCCACGCAGGCTTGCTGAGGAGCATTTCATAGACTCCGAGGGGCCCTGTGGTGGGAGGAGAAGTTTGGTGGGTCCTGGGTTCTGAGCAGGGGCTCTGTGGTGGCAGCTGTGCCCTATCTGCAGCTGTCTCCTTCAAGGCCAGGGCCCCAGGCCTTTCTGGGTACCTGGGGGTGGGGGCAGTGGCTTCTAGCCCTGACCCTAGACTGTTTCCCTTCCTCTGCTCCCCTTCCCATGAAGTAGTCTTTCCCCCCCCCCTTCTTCCCCCCCCCCCCTCCCCGCCACGCTTCCATCCACCTGAGGCTCCTTCCTCTTCTGACTACCAAGCATCTGGCCCTGCCTGAGCTCCGCTCCTTTACTTCTCTGGGTCAAGCCCAGGATGTGGCTGGACCTGTGTTGTTGGCAGGCCTGGCTCACTAGGCCCTCCTCCTCTCCTCCTCTCCTCCTCTCCTCCTCTCCTCCTGTGTGTTGCGTTCTCACACTTCCGTCCTGGTCCCTAGAGAAACGCAGGTTGCGATGCCTCCTAAGGGGACCTACGCTTTATGAGGACAGTGACTTCGTCCCCACTGCCGCTGTCTCCCACTCTTGCTCCAGTTCCCAGGCCGGAGTCTGTCCCAGAGAAGGCAGTCAAGACGTGTATCTGAAGGGATGGAGGATTAGAAGCACCCTCAGCATCAGCTGCCTGGCGCCTTCGCGGAGGTCTGTGCCAGGTAAAGCAGGAGGGCTCTGCCCGCGGAGGCGAGAGCGTCTGATGACTCCTGTCCCTGTAGAAGCCCGAGGTCAGGCTGTCTCCGCGATCGATCACTGTCCCAGGGGTGCGGTCGAGGGCACGGGCTTCGGCCCTCCTGGACGCCCCATCCTGCAGCCGTCAGATGCACACGACGCCCAACGATTTCTAAGACGTGGCGGGGCAGAGCTGAGCACTCCGATGTCCCTGATCATCATGTGCAAAGAGAGAAACACCTCCTCGCCTCCTCTCCTCCTCGCCTCCTCTCCCGGAGAGTTTGGTCATCACCAGCCACTGATCTGGGCTGAGACGTCCTCAGCTGTGCTGGGCTCGGGGCCTCCCTTCGTTAGCAACAGGACCTTCCCAAGTCCCGAGCCCTCCCTCCCCCCAGCTGGGCAGGGGTGGGCTGCTTTCTCATTTCTCTGGGAGAAGGTGAAGTCTGATGATTTCTAGACTAGGCCTCCCCGAGGAGGAAGAATGAGTGGGAGGAACATTTCCAAAAGATTTGGATTTGCCTTACTGGATGGCAACCTTACATGAAAGCTGTTCCCATCACCTGGGTGGGTCAGAGTAGTTCACCGCTGAGGCTGGGAAATGGGGGGCCTGACTTCCTGAAACCCCTCTGCCCGCATCCCTCCCAGTCACCGTCCCTTGTGTCTCCAGGTTTGATGTGTGTTGGGGGCAGGGGGTGGGGCTAGAGAAGGAACCACCTAAGGTGTGTGGGTGGCTCTGGGCTCTCTCAGGGGAGGACCAGAGAATGGGCAATGAGGCGTGAGCTGCGTGAGCCTTTCTCTCTCTTGGAAATCTATTTGGAATTTTAGTCAATGGCTTTAGACATTGACACTTAACAGTAAGCTCAATTATTCATAATCAGATTATCTGTTTAATGCTTTATCCATGGTGGCCTGGATCCATCCCCCTCCACCCAGTTGGGTTTCAGTGGGTAAGGCTGGGTGTTGATTCTGAGTCGTGTGTGTGTGTGTGTGTGTGTGTGTGTGCGCGTGTGTGTTGTATTTGTAGTGTGTTGTATGTTTTGTGTGTGTGTTGTGTTTGTGGTGTGTTGTGTGTTGTGTGTGTGTGTGTGTGTGTGTGTGTGTGTGTGTGTAAGCCAAGGTCTAATCCAGTTGATGTGTGGAGGTAACCTCAGCCTGGCCTTCATTAGCACCAAGTTGGCTATTAGATGTGTCAGGGCGGGGGGTTGGGGGGGGGACACTGACAAACTCCCCCTGTTGGTAGACCCCCCCATTGGCAGTATTGACCGAAAGGAAAGAACATCTTGTCTCTTGCAGTGGGTTGTCCTACAACCTGTCTGGCTCAGGTGGTGGTGAGTGGATTGTGTGTAACTGTGGATGCTGGGCTTCTTTAAGTTTCCTGGGGGGTGTCTATGGGCTGGTAAATGCTGCCCCCAGAAGGTAGGTGCTGTCAAATAGCCCTGCCTCAAAAAATTTTACCCAGTGACCTGGGAAAGGCTTAGTGGGTGTTAGCATGTCTCAACCACAGTCACAGCTGTGATTTGCAGAGCAGTTTCCGCGTGCCAGGTGTTCTGATATGTGAGGTGTGCAGGAGAGACAGGGAGGCGCGGTGGTTAGGGGCACCCACTCTGGAACCAGACTGCCTGGGTGTGGTCCTGGCTTCGCCAGTTACCAGCTGAGTGACTATGGACAAGTTCCTTTGCCCCCCAGAGCCTCCCATTCCTCATCTGTAAAATGTGGGTGACAGTGGCCCCTGATGATGTGATGTGTTCCAAGCTGTGCCGGGCACATGCCCAGTGCCCACTCGGTTGCAGCTCTGCTCTCATTAAATCCTGCTGGCAACTGGTGGGGACCATTAGCATCCTTTATTACCAAGGAAACTGAGGCAGAACAGCTACCAAAGACCCACAGCTAGTAAGCGGGGGACACAGGGACCTAGGTCTGCATCTGAAGCCCACATGCTCTCCACCTGCCTCGGGTGTGAAGCCTGAGCTCTAACCTGAAGCTGTGGGAAAGCGATGGTGTGAGGTCAGGTGGGGGGCCTGTGTCAAACCTTCTTTATAAAGATAACCAGTGCTCACATTGAGCACCAGGTACAATCTTTTAAAAATCACTCAAATAGCCCTGACCAGTTTGGCTCAGTGGATAGAGCGTCAGCCTGCGGACTGAAGGGTTCCAGGTTCAATTCCGGTCAAGGGCATGTACCTTGGTTGTGGGCACATCCCCAGTAGGGAGTGTGCAGGAGGCAGCTGATCGATGTTTCTCTCTCATCAATGTTTCTAACTCTCTATCTCTCTCTCTTCCTCTCTGTAAAAAAATCAATTAAGAAACATATTTTTAAAAATCACTCAAATAATTACCTCTTCAATGGGGCGAAACCTGAGTCTCCCGCCCCCTGCCCCCAGCAGCCCTTCCAGTGGTAGCCAGTTTCCTTTGTTTCTTCCTGGAGAGAGTCTATGTATGTTCCCAAGAAGTCGGAACACCCAATGAACTGGACAACTATCTCCATTTTACAGATGGGAGCCAGCCGCCAGAATGCAGACCGGAGTCCCTTTAGACTCCGTAGCACTTGCTTCACTGCTCTGCCACCCTTCCAGTCATTTCCTTTAACCTGTTCAGGTGGGAACGATGCATCTAAAGATGGAAAACTACCACTCTGGAGCCAGTCCCCTCCCCCAGCTGTCAGCCAGAGGCCCGTGTGTGTGTGTGTGTGTGTGTGTGTGTGGATACGGGGCGGGGTAGTTATTAAGGCTCCAAGTCCGAGGTTAGACATTCTCAAGGTGGAAGGGGACACGGTTGTTGGACTGGATGTCAGTGACTTGGGTCTTTGTTCTGGCTCGGACGCCACCAGGCTTAGCAGAAGCCAGATCACTTCCCCTCTGTTTCCCATCTGTGAAAAGGAGGGGGTCCCTTCCGGGGGGGGGGGGGCGTCTCAGGATCACCTTCCTCACCGGGTCCCTGGGCCGCCGTTGGTGGAATGGGGGAGCATGACAGGTGGAGTAACAGCCCAGGTGGGCAGCTGGGACACACCCTTTCTGGGCCAATCCGAGTAAACCTCTGCGTGTGCCTGAGGCCTCCTGTCTAATGTCTAATGAGATCCCAGTATGGATGTGAAAAGTCAAACACACCTACTGCCAATCTTCTTTTAATTTAAAATTTTTAATGTGGACACTATTGCAGATGTCCTCCATTTCCCCGCCTTTGCCCACCTCCATCCAGCCCCCACCTTCCCCATACTGTTGTCTGTGTCCCTGGGCTACACATGTATGTTCTCTAGCTAATCCCTTCACCTTCCTTTATCCAGTTCTCCCCCCCCCCGCCCCCCCTTCCCTCTGACATTTGTCAGTCTGTTCCGTGTATCCACGCCTCTGGTTCTATTTTGTTCATCAGTATATTTTGTTCATTAGATTCCACACACTAGTGAGATCATATGGTATTTGTTTTTCTCTGACTGGCTTATTTTGCTTAACATAATAACTTCCTTCTTTTTTACAGCTGAGTAGTATTCCATGGTGTACATGTACTATAGTTGTTTTGTCCACTCATCTACTGATGGGCACTTCTTGGGCTGTTCCCAGATTTGGGCTATTGTAAATAACGCTGCTCTGAACATAGGGGTGCATGTATTCTTTCTGATTGGTGTTTCAAGATTCTTAGGATATAGTCCCAGAAGTGGAATCACAGGTCAAAGGGCAATTCCATTTTAAATTTCTTGAGGAAACTCCATACTCTTTTCCGCAGTGGCTGTACCAGTCTGCATTCCCATACCTCCTTCCCATCTTTGTTTCCCTGCCAGCAAGCCAAGCTCTGAGCCTCAAAGTACTCATTTGTAAAATAATAATAACAATATTTCCCCACCTGTAAAAATAGGAGGGGGGATCCCTTCCTGGGAGGGGCCTTCGCATTTAATGAAAGTATTGTTATTACTGGCATTATAAGTACTTACTATTGTCCCAGATATAAAGTGCTTGCCATGCCCTGTTTCAGTAAATCCTCACAACAGCTAGATGAATTAGATGCTCCTACACCCATTTTCTGGGTGTGGAAAACGAGGGGCTGAGAGGTGAAGTAAGCAGTAG